TTTTAATAGATGATTTGTTACAAAGTCAGTATTTACGAGGCAAAGTGTGCAATTTCATAGTCTTTTTCCTCTTGTGATCTGTTTGGAGACAACATTCGGGAGCACGTGCTTGAACCTGACCCTTCTTTCCTTCTGAAGGACCCTTACCTTGTTTTTGTGATTTAGAGCTGGTAAGAAATCCGATTAGGTGAGGTATCTTCAGGTCAGATTAGACTGCAGGTAGCCACTAGAGGCAGCAAGTGTCATGTGGGGACTTCTTGTGTGACAAAGTCCTGAAACGTTAGAATCCCATCATGATTAAGCAGAGCAGTGGAAGAGTGCTGTGTATGCAGAAGCATAAAATAACTTCACTTGATCATGCGGTGCCTCTCGTTTGTCTTGTGTTATGCTGAGTAGCCAAATTATTTACACTTACTGCCATTTTCGTTAGAACTACATTGATGTGGTAATAAGCAGGAGTGCTTAAATTAAAAGTAAAAAGGCTTAGGTCTTTTTTTTAATGACTACCATGAGCAAATAATGACTCAATTACTTATCAAAGAATGATAAAATGTCAAACTATTTCATTTTTAGCAGCATGATAACAACTTTTATCCTTTAACATAAATATATGAGGATTTAAGGTTGTCTGGGAGAGAAATGCTTATGATTTGGCAAAGTATTTTCTCCTGAGAATGATACTAGGTAAGCAAGATAATCCAAGAGAAACTCTAATTGGGAAGATTTCAGAACTGTAGAGCAAGCTAGGCGCTGGTTTGTTTCTGGCCATGGTCCCCTTAAGGTGAATTCTGTCTGGTGATTAGCATCACCCTGGATTAAATTAATTGGCTGTACTCAATCCCTGAGTGGATATGCTAAGAATAAATCCAAAGACATTAGTTTCTTTGCACGAAATGAGCAGGTTACACACCCAGTGACATTTATGTGAATTATTCAAACAACCTAAAATATCTTTTTCTTTTTAAGGGAAGTTTCAAGTTCTGGTAAGTACAAAACTATTCAAAATCTTTATTTTGCTAATAATCTATTTTTTAGCTAGTTGTACTTTATTTTCTATTCTATATCTAGATTACATATTTGTGTTCTATCTTTATTAGAAAAAAGAATAAATATTGCTAATAATTATATTTTACCCAATTATGTCATAAACATATTCTGATTTTGAAGTAGAAGGGAACTTCAGTATCAGGAAATCAAGAAATTCTAGTTTATTCAAATATGAGTAAAGTTTATTATTTTTTCTCATCATAAAGGTACTATTTACTCAGAGAAATCTGTGCAATACACTGAAGAAGAAGGAAGCTGCTTGTAATTCAACAAAGCAGTGAAGACCATAAGAAATAATTGGTGTATTTCCTTTCTGAACCCCCCCACTGATTTCACCCCATAGATTCATGATAATCTGTGAAATGAACAAATTTTTCTTGCAATATCAAATCTGTGAATTGCCACAAAATTAACATTATGAATATACCAATTTTCTTGTTTTGTTTTCTACTTCATTCTTCTTTCTGAATTGCCTGAATTCCTACTACTTGGTAGAAAATTAAATTTAAAATATAATTAGTGACATGATTACATATCAAAGTGATAAATTAGTGAAATGATTACTTATAGAAGAATGATAAAATGTCAAACTATTTCATTTTAGTAGCACGATAACTTTTTTCCTTTAACATAAATATACAAGGATTTAAGGTTGTCTAGGAGAGAAATGCTTATGAATTGGCATGCATCTTGTAAATCTGGCATCTGTTTTGTCAAGCAAGTGGTGGAGGGAAGGTACAGCCCTCTTGGTAGAGGCAGCTATTTAGCTCTGAGCAGCACAGACTCAAATGTACTACTGATTAAGACCAACGATGGCATAGATAAGCATAATCATGGTTGAACCTAGTGAATCAAAGGGTGTTAAAAAAATCTGCTTTATCTTAAAAGGCAATACAAATATTCATGATAGTTCCATGGTCTAACTTTGGGCAATAAAGAGAATGCAGAGAAGAAGAGAAGGTATTGGTAGCAAGCTGTCAAGTCATTAGAAGCAAATTTCAATATAATTTGGGCTGGAGGCAAAGAGTTTGTTAACCAGGTCCTGTCCTTTGCTACTTCTAGGGATGTCAGTGATGGGGAAAGTGGAGGGCCTTAAGATTCTGCAGTTTCCTCTTGTTACCTCTTCTTATCTCCACTTCTCCTCCTGCAGCCTAACATGCTGGGAGAAGAATTAGCCCACTTTAGGCTACTTTGTCCTCCAGATAGTCCCTAAGTGTATTACCACCTTATCCCAACTTCAGAGGGCATAGAATAAACCTTATTTAAAACGTATGTAAAGAAACATTAATTTCCATCCAAATTTTGATTATTTTTTAAAGCTGATTAAAAAGGTGCACAATTAAAGACAGGGTAACTAAATACTGTGGAGGGCTGGCAGCTCTTTCACAAAAGGGTGCACTCTACTGTCAAGAATTACTGGTCTTGCTCATGTGCACTGGCAGATGCTGCATTAATTATGTCAAGGCAAAAGCTGACCCTCTTCCTCTGGAAGGAATCTGGCTTGCATTCTCTTCCCCAATGATGATGGGCACTGTATGCACTTGGATCCTTTTACTCAATGATAAAACTGAATCTTCATCAGGTTCTGTGTTATACACACACAATGCTTACCTCACCATAGCCTCTTACACCTCACATGAATATATGCAAAATCTCAACACTCTAAAACTTCCCCCAGTGACTTCTAGGAGTTCCCAGAGATCCCCATACATGCATATGAAGGACCACATGAGCTTGTATTTTTGCTACAGCCTCTTCATCAAGGTGCCTGGCAACCCCTCTGCTGCAGGTACTTTCTCAAATGCTCCTCCACTGCTGGGCATACGGCAGCTTCCTAGGGCATGGTACCTTCAGCTTCTCTTCATGTACTAGGCTCAAAACCAGTGCTCGGGGCTGGGCAGCAGTGGGATAGGGACAATGGGGGCCACCTCTTCCCTCCAACGTCCTTATCTTCCATGTTCTTCCTCCTGGTCCCAGCACAAAATCTCCTTTCTCTTATTTTAGCCAAAAAAACCCAAAAAACAAAAAAACAAAACCTTTATCATATCAGCTCACATAACTGTGCTTCTCAACATAACCACCAGGTCAACACCTCTCCAAATAGTGACATCCAGGCAGAAAACTACTGAAATTAAAAGCCTCACTATGTACTTACATACAGATAAATATAATTTTCCAAAATTAGGTGAAAAATGTGTCTCAAAACACTATTCATGTAAAATATTTTCAAATAAATATATAAGTAAAGCAACCTAAAAAGTAATCAGAGGCAAAGAATTCTGAAACCTTTTATTTATATACTGAAGGAACTCATCATTCCTCCCATAGTTGGTGAGGGCACAGAGATTAAGCAGCACGCCCAAGGTCAGACCACAGTTTATCAGCCAAGGATGAGAAGAGGTGGCGGTTTTGCTGACTCCACTGGAGCAAAGCTGGATTCCCCAGCTCCTGATGCGCATGCCTGCTACAGCTGCCTTTATTGTCTTAAGTCCTATGATTACTTTAAACAGCTTGGGGAGGGAGAAGGGGTGACACACCTAATTTCTAGGTGGATCTTTGAATGCATTTTCCTAAATTATATATAAATAAGACTTGCAAATCATATTGGAGATATATGAAGAATCTTAGGTAACAGCTTGCAAACATTTACAGATTTACAGCTGATTTATAATGACAAACATGCCTTTTTCATCTCCATAATAGTGATCACATTTACTTGTTCAATTTGTCTTCAAGGCTGCAGGGCATTCTTACTCTGTCAAAAGACACTAATAATTACTTTGATTTAAAAACAACAGAAAATAGCCACAATATGCTACAAATGAAAAACAAGCCCAGAACCAGATAAACCCTTCCACAAGCTGCTCACCTGTCAGAGTCTGGCTTCATTGGAAGTGGAAGAGGAAAACCTTAGTGATTAGCTGAAAGTGGCTCTTACATTCCCTCCTGAAGTTTTCATTTTAGAACCACTAGTGGGAACAGTACCCAGACTGCACCATTTTAGCAGTGTGTAGCAATGCTGTCCTTCATTCAAAAAATACTTGTTTAGTGCAGTGTTTCCCAAAGTAGGATTAGTGGCACGTTAGACAATTTACCTTCATTTTCGACAACCTGTAATGGAAACATCTTACACTATCCTAATATGGCCCTTATTTAAGGATTTATGTGATACATTCCTTCTAGAATTTAATGTTAGGAAACATTTTCCTCTACATGAACTCTTTTGGTTCCAACAGACAATTTGAACTTTATAAACTTTTCCTGTTTCCTCCCTTTCCTTGACTGCCAGGACATGCAGAACTAAATAAATCAATTGCAAAACTCCCTTATTTTTCTCATTGGATAGTTCCTGATCTGTGCTTCTTTTATTTTTTAATTGTTCAATAATACCTGTTAATTTTAAAGATTCACAAAATTTAGCAATGTATAAAAAACACAAATATTATCCATAGCTCTGCCATCTAATCACCATCAACACTGGGCTGTATATACTTCTGGAATTTTCTTCTGCTAGTATAATAAATATGCATACATATAAATCAATGGCATAGCATATATATTTTACAAACTGCTTTTCAACTTAGTAATAGGTCATGATCATTTCTCTATCCAATAAATACAGATCTATAAAGCAATGTTTAATGGTTGCAAAGTTTTCCATTGCATGCATGTGTGTATCATAATTTACTGACTTAGGCCCTTATTAGCGTTTTTAGATTGTTTTTATCTTTAAATCATAAATACCCTTATCTAACTGTTCCATTTATGTCTTCTTATTGTAAGCCCCTTAAAATTGTCTTCCAAAATAGCACGTATAATGAATAAATAAATGAATGAATGAAATCCTAGGAATAGCCCGTATATCTACAATTATAATTAGATTGCATCAGCATTATCATGTATTCTTTATGGTGCTGTTACTCTGGAGAGGAATACTTTTCTTCCCTTTCCAGGTCTCAGCCAAAATGAGCGAAGCTCCTTCCACCAGTTTTTCCATGATTTATCCGACTTCTTCAGAAGGTCAAGGTCTTTCCCCTCGCCATTTCAGCGTCACTCAACCTGTTGTAGCCAAAAAGATCAGCTTCTACAAGAGCGGAGACCCGCAATTTGGTGGAGTCAGGGTGGTGGTCAACCCTCGTTCCTTTAAGACATTTGATGCTTTGCTGGATAACTTGTCAAGGAAGGTGCCGCTACCTTTCGGGGTGAGGAACATCAGCACCCCTCGAGGAAGGCACAGCATCACTAGTCTAGAGGAGCTGGAGGACGGCGAGTCGTACCTGTGTTCTCATGGTAGGAAGGTGCAGCCGGTGGACCTGGACAAGGCCCGCCGGCGCCCGCGGCCCTGGCACAGCAGCCTGGCCCTCACCGCGCACGCGCACCGCTCCCCTGCCGCCGCCGCTCCCGGCATGCTGCGCGCCCCGCGGAGGCTCGTGGTCTTCAGGAATGGCGACCCGAAGATAAGGCGCGTGGTCGTTCTGAACAAGAGGGTCACCCCGAGCTTCGAGGCCTTTCTGCAGCACCTGACAGAGGTCATGAAGCACCCGGTTACCAAGCTGTACGCTACGGATGGAAGGAAGGTGAGCATTCCAAGCTTCCTCATGCGTTGGCTCGCGTCGTGCGGGACGTGGACAGCCCCCGGGAAGGAAGGCTTCGCGCGCATGCGTGCGTGTGTTTTCCCACCCTGGCGGGAGGGCGCCCGCTCAACTGGGTGCGTGGTCTTGGTTCTCTCCTCAGAACCTGACCGAGGCTTGGGCCCCGAGGGTGCCCTTTTGCTCCCACGCTCCCTCCCAGTTTCTGCCTTCTGTGAGCACCGAGTTATGTACTGTGTTGGCACAGAAGTGAATCTTGACAATATTTCTTGAAAAGGCGTGGCCGAGAGTGGTATTGTTAGGTGGAGAAAGCATTTTCCTGGGATTCCTGCTGAGGGGTCTGGGGAGGGCTTCCCTTGCAGCTGACAGCATGTCCACAAGAGCTCACCTTCCCGGCCCTGGCGTGCCCACCAGGCCGTGTCTCAGCTGGTTCAGGGTAGACACTTGGCTTCAGCTGGATTCTTTGGTGGGGAAGACCGAGGCAGTACTGCGTCTCTTTCAGAGATGGCTTTAGTTATGACGGAAGACCCGTCTGCCTCTCTCCAGCTAGTGTGGAGGCTCAGTGAGGATGTTGGTCTTACCCCCACCCCCGCACACACTCACTTTGGTGTTTCCAGTTATTTTTTATACAACATTGGTGCCTAACAAATGCTTGGTGATTATCTCTTTCAAGTTGGGGAGATTGTTGACTTGATTCAGTTATAAAATTACCATATGGAAAGAACGGAACTGCATGTTGCTCATGTAAGGACCATAACTCTGGTTTTTTCTAGGTTCCCAGTCTCCAGGCCGTGATCCTGAGCTCTGGAGCTGTGGTGGCAGCAGGAAGGGAGCCATTTAAACCAGGAGATTATGACGTCCAAAAGTACTTGCTTCCTGCTAGATTACCGGGGATCTCTCATCGTGTGTACCCCAAGGGAAATGTTAGGTCAGAAATCAGAAGGAGTAAGTCACTTAAATACATAGCCCTTATTTTTAGCCCTGAGATTTTTTTGACCTCAACAACAACAAAAATCCATGCTTAAATGACCAATTTCCTTCATCACAGAAGAGAAAATGAGGAGATTAAAAACATTTTAAACTGAAATTGATTATATTTATAGTTGGAAGGAGTGGTAATTTTCTTTAGACTTTTCCAAATCAGTCAGTGACATGTCTGGTTAAATTGATGAGGTATGCTTTTTTTTTTGGCATATACTACCTAGTTAAAAAATCAAAATGGCAATATTTCTTGATTTGGAGAGGAATTCTATGGAATATATGTAAATAACATCACTGGTAGTTGCAGAGTTTTCCCTAAATGGTACCGTGTAGTGTCACAGCTGAGCTTAGCAGGTTAGTTGAGTGACTGTATTTTTTAAAATCTCTAACTACATACATGCTGCACTCTCTGATATTTTCCAGTAAAAGTCACAGGTTCTTAGATCTACTTTTTATTTATTAAACAAAAAAGGTTCATGTAGCCAATTCATGCTAGTTAACAGTAATCTAGGTTGATAATTTCTTAGGAAGTACTGCATAATGTGGCATTATCCTTTGGATGGAGGGGAGGAAGAGGGCCTCTGGATGACCAAGAGTGTAGGATAGGCTGTAAATTCCCCATGCATGCATGGCTGATCTCATTCTTCGTTGTGCTCAATATTTTAATCTCATTAGTCATTGTGCTCAATATATTAGTTCTATGCTGAAGTATTGATTGCCATTTATACTTAAATTTTGGGTTTTTTTCTGTTTAGACATAGAATAATATGTATTTTAAATGTGCATAATATGCGTTTTAATCTCTCTATTGCTAGAGTGGGAGGAACTCATCTATTATTTATTGTCATTTAGTTATTTAATAGATATACTCAATAGGTAATTAATAATGTTTCTATTTCATAGGCATTAGCTACCAGATATCTGTTAAGCATATGGCAGTACTATTTCACCTTGGTTATTTTACTAAAATGATTTTATTATTTTGTGTCTGATATAGGCTGCTGAGTATGATTTTTGATGACTTCAGGGAATCTGAGGGCTATATTAAGTTTTACTTTAAAAAATTATGTGAGACATTGTCATTTACAATTTTGGTAAAAGTATACCAAAAATAAGAAAATATTTCTAGGTTTATACTCTGAAACAATAAAGGTATTTAATTTATGGCAAGCATGTGCAAATCTGTATAAACTACTAACAGGAATTTGATTGAGTTTAAGAGGCATGAGTGCCAAGGTTATCTCCAGAGACACAGATTAAAAAGATAACTAGATATCTGGGCCTATGTCTAGCCCTGTTCTCTTTTGTGCCCTGTATTAAAGCAACTGCACTGATTATACAAAATGAATACTAAATTGACAATTATTTCTTGATTAACCCAGTCTTTTATATAAAAAGTCTAAAAAAAAGTTTTGGCTTTCGTATACTATAGATGTCTCTCTTGGATATGCACAGATAGGAGAATGAATACCACCATAAATTATTACTTGCTTTGTTTGAATAGGTAAGCAGCACTTGGTTAGACTCCAATTTCAGTACTGGTAAACAAAATAAAACAAAACCCCACAAAAATCTCTCCTTTTTCTAGAATCCTTAGCAATTTCTACTTTATACTTTCCTCATTAAAATTGCCTTATTAAACCATTAAAATTAAAATTCTGTGGATCTTCTCATTGAAGTTGATTTATAAGTTCTCTTTTTAAGAGTAGTTTCTAGAACTATACCAGATATCACATTGAACTCAAATAACCAGTGAATACATAGAAGTGAGAAACATATTAGTAATATGTTACCATGAAATTTAGAAAATATGATATTTTTTAATACTAATTCTTTACTTTTTTCTTCTTTCTTTGCTGCCTATTCTATTGGATATTTATAACTTCTCTACCTTTCACGTTATATTTTGATGTGGGGCATCTTTTACTCTTAAAATCTTGAAAGTGAGCACACATGTGCCATCAAGTCCAACGTCCCAGATTTATTCTATTTCTTCTGACAAAATGCATAACAATGATCGCTACTCAGACCATTCTTTGGCTCCTGAAAATTACTTGGCCTTAGAAAAAAATGATTCTCAGAATTTATTGATATATCCTTCTGAAAATGATATTGAGAAATCAATTATTTTTAATCAAGATGGTACTATGACAGTTGAGATGAAAGTTCAATTCAAGATAAAAGAGGAGGAAACCATACAATGGACAACCACTGTCAGTAGAGTTGGTCTTTCTAATAATAACAAAAAGAGTGAGATAAGCAGTTTTTCAGGAAGAACAGATGATCGATCATCTGGTTTAAAGATTGCAGCATGTTCATTGTCTGCAGATGTCTCACCTCTGGAGAAAGGCAATAATCAAGAGGGCAGTTTGGCAGAGGAAATAAACACTCAAATGACAGATCGAGAGGCTGAAAGTTGCAGTTCTGTGAGTTGGGAGAATGCTGCTATGGACACAGATGCCATCCAGGGAATTCAGGACCAAGTGAAGCATCATTATTATAGGCCCCCTACACCGAGACCAAGGAGAGTGAGACAAAAGAAATCTGTGATAGAGAGTGTGACCTTAGTATCTGAAACTGAAGTTCAAGAGAAAACGATTAGACAGTTTTCCTGTGGTAAAGAAAGGGAAGATGGGGAAAACAAGTCTGAGTATCACGTGTTCACCCATTCTTGCAGTAAAATGTCATCAGTCGCTAACAAACCAGTACTTGTTCAGATCAATAACAGTGAGCAGATGGAGTCATCTTTAGAAAGAAAAAAGGAAAGCAGACTACTCAAGTCAAGTGCAGTAGGTGCTGGTGTTGTAGAAATTACGAATCAGAAGATGTTAGAGGTGTCCCATAATAATGGCTTGCCACAGGCTATATTAGAAAACTCAATTGTAGAGGAAGGTATAGTTGATAGTGTGACATTAGACAACAAAACTAATATCAAAAACTTCATAACTTATGGTGACACCAGTGATAGATTCAGTCCTGTTGTAGCACATGCAACTCATTCTTCAAGTAACCACTCTGGAACTGGCAAAACTATTTCTGAGACCCCAAAACTATTTGAGACCCCGGCTTCAGTGGGATCCTCTACTGTCACCACAAGAATTGACAGACTAATTAGTGAATTTGCCAAGTGTGGTTTAGCAAAACTTCCAGAAAATGAAAAGCAGATTTCATCATCTGTTGCCAGCAAAAAGAAGTCGAAATCTCAGCACCAAATGATAATTGCCAGGCATCAGAATGGGGATATTGCAGCTAAAGCAATCTCCAGTGAAAGTAAGAGAAAGAACACAGGAGATAGAATTGCACAGGAAACCATATTGCAAGATACATACAGTCCCATTAAAGGAGGGATACTTTGTGAGGAAGACCTCCGTGCAAGTGATATGGTAATTGAATCAAATTATTTTTGTTCGAAAAGTAATCTCAATCCTGTAAATTCCAAGAATTTCCATAGAAATAAATTAAATACTATTCAGAATCCTAAGATTCAAGGACTTTTAACCAAAAGAAAATCCAGACCACTAAACAAAGTAAGCTTAGGAGGACCTACAAAAAGAGAAATTGGTCAAGGAGATAAAGTATTTTCCCATAATGAGTTTAAATATTGCAAAAATACTTTTGAAAATAAAAAATTATTTCATGTGTTTAACTTCCTTGAGGAGAAACCCAGTGCTTTTTGTGGACCACAGGCTCAAGCAGAAATGGCATCTTGGTATTTGAGAGAAACAGCAAAGAAGAGTTTAGTTTCAAAAGTTAATAATTCACATATAACTTTCAAAAGCCAGAAAAAGCAAAAAGGGGACAAGTTGAAATCAGGTACTCTTGTAAGTAAACAACATGCTACAACCAGGGCAAATTCCTTAGCTTCTTTGAAAAAAGCTGTTTTTCCTGAGGATATTGCCCATCATTCAGTTCAAAATTATATACAGAGATGGTTGCAGAACATAAATCCACATTCAACTTTGCAACCTAGAAAATCAACTCTAGTATGCAAAAGGGAAAGGAGTATGGTAAGTCGTAACAACAATAGTTTTCCAGGAAATACATTCCACACAAGTTCTGGAAAAGGAAATAATTTTGTCGTGGAAAATAAGAAGCACATAACTAAAAATGCCTGTTTGACAGGAGATAATCTAGGTAAAGAGGAAGGTAAATCTTTTGACAAAGATAACAGTGAAGAACTTACCAAAGATCTCTATGAGAGCCAGGTTGGTTCTCTGAATGATGCATACTTGCTTTCCTTGCGTAAATATTGTACTTTGTCACACTCAGCTATTGATGATCATAATACTACCAGTCAGGTATCTGCTGAAAAGTCAGGACCAGAGGTAAGCCTTGTTTATCAAGAAATAAACCTAGCAACAAAAGGGCGAAGTGTAGAGGCTGCCATTCAAGTAGATCCTATAGAAGAGGATATTGCAAAACACCTCTTACCAGTCCTGTTGCTTTGCCAACTGCAAGCTTTAGTTTCTAGTATTTGCAAGTTTCAGAATGGAGTTGTTCAAATACCAGGTTCACTTGCAGATGTTCCCTTCCCTTCCCCAATATGTAATTCATCCACTAATGTCCTCCTAGCTTGGCTCCTGGTGCTAAACCTAAAGGGAAGTATGAATAGCTTCTGTCAAGGTGATATTCACAAGACTACCAACAGAACTTCAGAAATACCTGCATTGTTGGAGGTTCTAAAGCGTATTGCCATCACAGAAGAGGCTGATGACTTGAAAGCTGCTGTTGCCAATTTAGTGGAGTCAACCACAAATCACTTCGGACTTAGTGAGAAAGAACAAGACGTGGTTCCAAGAGGTCTTTCTGCAAATTGTTCCACACCAAACATTCAGAGAGTTCTTAAGTACATTGAAAAAGAAAAAATACAGAACATATCCTCTTTAGAGGGAGGCTACTCTGCCAGTGAGAACTGTGCCCCTGAAGTCTGTGTTTCGGAGTTGACTTGCTTTCCATGTGAGATGAGCACTGTGAATAAGACTTATCCTCCAAAAGAGACTAGTAACGCCATTGACACTTTTTTCCCTAGTGATGGCTGTGCCGTGGATCAGAGCTCCATGAATAAGGCTTGTTTCCTAGGAGAGGTCTGTTCACTTACTGATGATGTGTCTTCCCATAAGGCTTGTGCTCATGAGGAAAACCGTATCTATGAGGCAGCTTGCCCAATTGATGAGGCCTACATTCCCAGTAAAGTCTGCAGTAACAATGACATTTTAAATTCCAAAGATACTGATAATTTGGAATTGACTGAAGAGTTAGAAAGAGTTGATAAAGTTCAGAAAGACCTAAATATTTCGGTGTCACACCAAAATATCAGTAATTTAAGCCACTGTGGCCTTTTCCTAAATGCAAGTGAATCAGGATTTGAGAAGGAACATAGTTTTCTGGATGAATTTCAAAATTGTTCATTAAAGAAATTTCAGGATAAAAATGCATATACATCTTTTGATAAGGAAGAATCAAAGACTTCTGAAGAACCAGGCTCAATAACCAACAGCATGGCATCAAGTGAAAGAAACATTTCAGAATTGGAATCTTTTGAAGAATTAGAAAACCAGGGCACCGATATCTTTAATACAAAAGTAAATACTGGAGAGCAAACCACTGAAGAATCAATCCGAAAGGAGTTAGAGGCTAATAAAAATTTGGAGTTGATAGAAGTCTCTAGCGGGACTATTATGGAAGAAGAAAGAAAGAAAGGTGTAATTCATGAGACAATCAGTAGGAGGCTGGCAACACCACCATCTTTAGTGTTTTGCTATGATTCTAAACAAAATACTGAAAAGGAACTCAATAAAGGGGAAACTAAAATGAGAGTAAAAATGATGGTGAAAAGCATGGAAATTGGAAGTTATTCAGAGTCCTCTCTTGATTTTAAAAACTGCTTTAAAAGTCCAATGACTTCTGATTGGTCAGACTATAGACAAGATAGTGAGAATGAGCAACCATATAAAACATCCAGTGATGGCCCCAATGACAGTGGTGAGGTGATTGCCCGTGAGAAAGAATACAATAAAGGAGTTGTTAAAAGGACAGTAGAAAAACTTTATGGTAAAGCAGAGATTATTAAACCATCTTTTTTTTCTGGATCTTCACATAGATCTCAGGTTTGTCCTTACAATTCTATGGAATTTCAGTGTGCTAGGAAAGTAGGTCTTTATGATTCTGAAGGTCAGCCATTTAGCACTTCTGTACAGATTTCTAGTAGTTCATCTATGTTGCAAGAATTTCAGGATGAAAGACAAGATAAATGTGGCTTTAATGATGTGAGGGCCAATTATAATGGAGAAGACAAAGTAGAACTTGGTACAAGACAAAATGGTCATAAGAGAATCCCCAGGGACATAGAGGAAGGAGTGCTGATTGACAAAGGCAAGTGGCTCCTGAAAGAAAATCACTTGCTAAGAGTATCATCTCCTGAAAATTTTGGCATATGTGGCAATGCAGACACCGCATCAGTGGATTCTCTACCTGATAATAACAGCAATGAGGTACCATATTCGCATTTTGGAAATTTGGCATCAGGCCCAGACATGGCTGAACTGTCCTCTTCAGAATTGGAGGAACTGACTCAACCTCTTGAACTGAAATGCAATTATTTTAACATGCCTCATTGTAGTGACTCTGAGCCTTTTCATGAGGATTTGCTAGATGTTCAAAATAAAACTTGTGCCAAGGAGAGAATACCAAATCACCATGCAGAGGAGCAGGGTAATCATCGGCCAGAAAGAGTATGCACATCCATCACTCATGTTTTTACAACTGCTGGTAACAGAGTCCATCCTGTCTCTGATGATACTATTAAAAACCAACCATTGCCTGGTGGTAATGTAAGTCATGGTGCACTTCAGGAAGGTGACTCTTTGGATAAACTCTATTTTATTTGTGGTCAACATTGCCCAATACTAACTGTTATTATCCAACCTATAAATGAAGAAGACAGAGGATTTGCATATTGCAAAGGTTCTGATATTGAAAATTCCTTGGGTCTCCATTTGTGGATGAAAATATATCCATATTTACTACAGTCAAACAAGAACGTGTTCAGAGATGAGAACAATAAAGCAAGTAGGAGGAAAGCATTTATTGATAATGCCATTAGCAATACATTTCATCGGCTTTATTTCCATAACACATTTGAATTGATGGATAAAAGAGGAAAATTAAAAGGAATTAAGGTCTTGGACTTAGAGGAAGAAAATAATTTAAAGAAATTTCAATCATATTTAAAGAAAAGGTTTTGCGTGAATTTCTTGCACATGTTGTTAGTTGTGGGTGATGTGAATTCAAATACACAAGATCTTAGCAGTCAGACAAATGAAATCTTTGAAGTAGTTGATGGGAATAACAACTTATTAAATAACAGATTCCAGAGCTCAAGAAGAAATCTCAACCAAGCAGTAAGAGAAAATAACTATCATTTCTCTTTTGAAATGCTTCGTCAAGCCTTCCTGTTTTGCCAAGCTGAGACATCCTTACATATTAGCAACAGAAATACATTAGAAATATTTTATGTTTTTGAGGATGAAAATCTTTTCATTTGGGAAGAGGAAAACCAATTAAATTTAACTAATCACGAAAGCAGTGATGAACAATAAGATTTATAATTTCAATATCAGCACAGCTTTTCTTCATCAGTGCATTTTTTTCCTCATAATAAGATGAAACACATTGGATGGATATGGACTAGATAACATCTAAGTTATTTCCCACTTCTTCAAAATGAGTTTACCCTAGAAACCTTGCCCTTGGATAATCCGATTTGACTTGCATCATTCTTCTGTTCTTCATTTTTCCAACAATTACAGACTCAGTGTATATTCTATTATTTTGTAAGTTTCTATGTGTGTTTTTTTTTCCTGAACATATACAATTTCATGTATCTATGATTTTTCTCCTGGGACATCATAAATGCCCTAAGGACAAGAATTTATATATACATATATATATATATATATTTATGTTGTCAGTTCAGTGCATAATGTATATTGAACGTATTGATGAATAAGTGGAATAGACTTAGCCTCAAAGTACTTCACTTATTAATTTTAACTACTAATTTGATAAAGGTGTGATTGTAAGATATTCACAACAATCTGTCAAGGTTCTTGTGCCAAATGTGTTGAGTCTAGTTTCCTCAGAACATCTGTCTAATGAACTTGCAAGAATTGCCATGGGACAGATTCACCATTTTCTTTCATGATTAGAAAAATATGCTCTGCTACTAAGCTGCGTCTCCAGTACTTTGTCTAGAAATTATAATCTTTTAAACATTAATACAATTTCAAGAAATCCAAATAGGTCAGAAAAAAATAGGGGAAAAATTTAAGGCATGATCAGTGAAGGAAAATGAAAGGAGCTGGAACAATTTAACTTGGAAAAGAAAAGAGAAATGTGACTTTAAAATTCTCAAAATTGAAAAAGAACTGCTGTGAAGAGGAACTTGACAGATTTCTTTGTATGTTCACCTGCATTTTTAAAATAAAAAATTTAATTAGATATAAATAAAAACATGTTGCCTATAAGGAAAAATAAACTTGATTAGACCGTGAACCATAAATTGTCTGTTTTTTTGAATACTTGTGGTATTTTGCCTGGGACTTAGCTGGGGAACCTTTTACGATTCCTTTCACTTCATTACTATGTGATAGTATAGAAACAAGTCTTATAAACATTGAACTCTATGTCTCATCTGGACCTGACTCAAAGTAGAATGATTAATGTTTTTGGAGCCACAATATTTTGGTGGTGCTAAAATAACATAAACTTGACATTGAGGAACTAAAGGTAATTACATAAAAAGAATACCTTTAGTTTCAGTTTTGCATGTCATAAATTCATAAAAAGTTATGAGTTGCTATTTATTTCACCAGGTGAAGACTACCTCTACATGAAGTATGCTTTTCCTACATTGTGATGTACTCTTCTCATTGAAATATGGAAATTGTAATGTTTTGTAAGCTGTAATGAGCAATGAGAAATTTTGGTGAAACTAAAGGGCAAAAGTTGTGGAGAAGTAATAAAAAGAGGAGAAGAATTAATGTTAATTTTTTTGCCTCCTGTGTGCCAAGGATTGTGGTAGATTTAGTGTATGTAATCCTTTTTCACAGAGGCACAGTGAGTTTGTCTGTTACTCCCTTTTTGTAGATGAGAGAACCTAGAAACAGGGAGGTCAAGTACTTTCATGAATGGCGCACAGTAGATATCATGTCAGGATTGGAACCCAGACCTTCGTGCTTGAAAATCAGTGTTCTTTTTACTACATCTTTATTATTATTTTCATGTGAGGAAAAAGGGGTAAAATGTTTTAAAAATTATCGGAGCAGAGAAGGAAATTATTTTTCTTTTTAATTTAGAAAGTGTGATGTTTAGATATACCGAGGAGATTGGGGAAATCACTCATAGTGACCAGGAATTTTAGGAAAATATTGCATGCAGCATATGGTTTTTGGCAATAATACTACATCAAACAATGTCCTGGGTGGCCCAGATGATATTGGGAAAAAAGAAGTTGGGAGTGACATGTGTGAATTAGTAATGCATGACTGTGTAATGTATTTCTTATTTAAAATGAACATGTTCGTATACATTGAATTCTGAGATTTGGAACCACATCTTATGTATCTTTATATCCCAGATTTAGCATATTACTTGGGACATGGTAAGCACCTAGTAAATGTGTGTTGAATGGATAAGAACTGCTCTTGAAGTCATTTATTTGTTTACCTCTTATTAACTTCAGATCTGTGTATGTAGAAGGATATGCAAAGATGCTGAGGGATAGAACTAAATTCTTATATTTTATGAAGCAGTATTTCAGTTATCTTTAAAAATGTCAGTGGAAATGATGGTTTTTTTCTTTTGAACGTTCAAAGGATATTTTTTATTTTCACAAGGCTTGCATTAAAAAAAAATCTAACTGTGAAATTTGGAAGACTAAATGAAACTTTAGAGGAAATTTAAAAATATTATACAAACCTGGATTTTGCTTCAGAGATGAAGGGCCTGAGGGCTGAGGAAGGGAGTCCAGTTTATGTGTTCAGGAGAATATATGCAAGTTTAGGATTTTGGGTCCCAGAGTGGAGTGGCGTAATTACTGTCTGTGCCCACCAGATGTCATCTGCGCTTTGTGCTGCCAGAAGCTCAAGCACCCTCAGAGGAGGCTTGCGTGGCTAAAGGGAGTGCCTCAAGCCTTGGGACAGTCTCTGGGCGGCTTACTTCTGCTTCAGAGAAGCTGAGGACCCAGTTATGCAGGCACCCCCTAAGTCTTAAACCCAGTATAACAATATTCAGAATTAAAGGAAATATCCTGTTAGTAGCAAAGAGCTGAGGTTCAAAAGTAGAGGAATACGAAGAAAAATGCCAGCTATCAAGAAACATCAGAGTTGATTCTAAGGAAAGCTCAACTTGGGGAGGGTGAAAGCAAGCAAAAATCCTAACTCAAGTTGAAACTAAGTTAATAAGTCATTGGCTCAGTGGGTAGAGGTGATTTTTACATGAAGCTTTCAGATGTTTCACCTCTTAACCTTTCAGTGACATAAAACACATGTCCCATTTTCAAGGTTTAAACTGAGGTATTGAAGCTATGTTCCATGTTTGTGGCACTCCTTTTGTTAGTTTCCTTGTCAATAAAATGGGGCCACCACTTAAAAGAAAGTTCTTATGAGGATATACCATATGAGATTGTTGTGAGGGGATCACGTGGGAGAATGATTGTAAAGCTCTTAGCATAGAGCTTGGCACACAGTGCTGAATACATTTTAGCTGTTTCTTTAAAAAAGCCATTAGAGTTAATGTCTTTGATACGCTCTTTAATTGGTGTTTTTCTAATCAAGAAGTATTAGCTCTATTGGGTGCTAAGAGATATAAAAGAAACAATTTCAACATTTATTCATATGACCCTTTACAAAGGTGAAGATGACTAACATTTTGAGCCCTGCTTGGTGCCAAGTTATGCTAGGTGTTTTATGTATAGTTATCTTAGTCAGACCTCACAATAACCCCGTCGGATAGGTACTAGTATCTACAATGTAGCAGGAGGAGGCAAGACTCAAGGGAGCCAGGAAAGAAGCACTTTTACTTCCATGTCTGTATTTAATCCTCACAAACAGCCCTGAATTTTGTGCATACTCTGTATACTGATCCACCCTGAAAACAGAAAATGACTTTGTATTCCATTTATTGAGGCTGAATGGGATTCTGTAACTGTAACATAGTAAGTCAAAATTATTTTAATCCAAAGAGGAATACTTTTCCATACAGATATAATATGAACATGTACCAAATATTTATTTAACTCATTAAATTCATTAATTAACTAGGGAACCACTAACATGTTACAGTGAGTTCAAAGGAGAATTTAAAGTATCACACAAAAATAGTAAAGGAATGCTGAAATGAATATGATTTGTCCAGGACAATAATTAATTGCATTGCGTTTCATTGGACACAACTAATTTATTTTCTGTGAAGAATAATAATTTGCATTATTAGTTTGTTTGTTTGTTTTTTACAATTAACAGGATTGTAAGATAACTTAAAGATAATGAAAAGCAGAGGTAACTCCTAAGACTGCTTGACAAGGCATTTAGTAATGTTTTTGGTCCATTTCAAGGCGTTTCACAGTTTTTCCATATGAAGGCTTTATTTCCCAATGACTTAAGTGCTAAGTTATTAAGGAAATATTCCTAAGTAGCATATAGTGTATGACTGAAAAAACTTTCTAAAATTAAGCAATGAAACAACAAACACTCTAAGAGGAATAAGTCTTAGTTTGCCTGATGGTTTTAAGGCAAATCTGTTTGTCTTGTAGTTCTGGACATAAGCAATAAATATTGCTCAGCATAGATTTTAAATGCCACATACAGTGACTGATTTTAACAATTGGAATTCTTCCTAAAGGATGTATACATCAGCCTTTTCTCTATGCATGCATATTGTCAATACCTTATCAATTTTTACTTTCTGATTCGTTCACAGAGATTACCATAACAATGACTACAATAACAAAGACAACAAAAGTTAATGGAGTAAAAATCATTTAACTGCTTTCTCTCTTGAGAGTAGTTCTTATCTTTTGTAAGACCAATGATGTTTTTGGGTTTTTCCTTCTAGCTTTATTGAGATATAAATGACCTATAACATTATGTAAGTTTAAGACATACAGTGTGGTGATTTGATACAGGTATATATTGATCAATGTTTACCACAATAAGGTTAGTTAACACATCCTTCACCTCACACAATTACTGTTTTGTGGTTATGGTGAGAACATTAAAGCTTTACTCTCATAGCAACTTGCAAATATACAATATAGTATTGTTGACTATAGTCACTGTGCTGTACATTAGATCCCAGGAACTTATTCATCTTATAACTGAAAAAGTTTGTGTGCTTTGACCAACATCTCCTGATATTGCTCATTTCTTGGCCCGTGGCAACCACCATTCTACTCTGTTTTTATGAGTTTGATGTTTTTAGATTCCACATATACCTGAAATAATACAGTATTTGCCTTTCTCTGGCTTATTTCACTTAGTGTAATACCTTCAGGGTCCATCCAAGAATTTCCTTCCTTCTTAATGGCTGGATAATATTCCATTATATGTATATACACACATACATAACACATTTTCTTTATGGATTCATTTGTTAATGGACACTTAGGTTATTCCCATGGCTATTGTGAATCATGCTGCAATGAATATGGCAGTGCAGATGTCTCTTTGAGATAATGATTTCATCATTTTTGGTTATATACTCAGAAGTGAGATTCTTTTTCTCTGAAAATGACTTTTTTCCTGCA